ATTGTTAATTTTTTTTGAAAATTATACAGAAAATTATTTTTAACTATACAGCGTGATTCAAAAATAAGTTACAATACAAACTTACGTTTTCTTTAATGAAATACCATATATGTTACTTCGTATTTTTGGATGTAGCTTTTTATTACAACGTTTTTAAGTTAAACTTTTATTGCTTAGTTTTTGAAATAAGTTTTTTTTGACGAAAACAAACTTTAAAAAAGAAATTTAAACACAAAAACTTAGACAGCTAGAAAATAGTGTTTTACTGCTACWAAGAATAACAGTTTTTTAGTGTTTTGCATTTGTAAAAATAAAAAATTGTTGAAGTTAAAAGTTAAAATGAAACACCCTATTTTTTGTATTTTTGCATCTAATAGGTTCTTAAGTTGTCTATATAAAAACATAAGTGGATAACATTGTCAATTATACTTTCGTTGCTACCCAAAAAATAGTAAGCACTTCCGAWCAGGGGGAAGGCTAGGGGGCCTTCGAGTTTCGCTGTGTGGAGCCGCAGAAGTCTCTGTTTTTTTGAAAAATAACACGCGAAAAAATAAATACCAGCTATGAACACGCCCAAAACCACTAAAATTGTTATCGATTGCATTTTGTTCGATTAAAACGGGTTCTGTGTAAAATAAACTTTTTATACCCTTGAGGGAAGTGGTGGAGGTGGGTCAGGTTTTTGCAATGTGGTTTGACTGGTATTGGGCTGAGGGATAAATTTTTACAAATGCAATGCTTACATTTTTTTATAAAGCAAATTGTATACAGGTGTCCATAATTTTTTTTTCATTGTTATTTTTTTTTGAAAATTATACAGAAAATTATTTTTAACTATACAGCGTGATTCAAAAATAAGTTACAATGAACACGCCCAAAACCACTAAAATTGTTATCGATTGCATTTTGTTCGATTAAAACGGGTTCTGTGGAAAATAAACTTTTTATACCCTTGAGGGAAGTGGTGGAGGTGGGTCAGGTTTTTGCAATGTGGTTTGACTGGTWTTGGGCTGAGGGATAAATTTTTACAAATGCAATGCTTACATTTTTTTATAAAGCAAATTGTATACAGGTGTCCATAATTTTTTTTTCATTGTTATTTTTTTTTGAAAATTATACAGAAAATTATTTTTAACTATACAAGGTGCGCCAGAACTCGCGCCCCAGAGAAAAATGCCATATAAGGTAAGATACCGGGAACTTGGAAAAAATGTTAAATAAATTTTATCTATAAAAATTTCGAAGTTATGAGGGTTTAAAGTTTGCATTTTAACTCTATTTATTTCTGTTGGAAAAATAATTTTCCAAGTTTTTTTGCTATAGGCTATTAAAAGAGGAAACAAGGAAGCTGTGTCCTAAATTGTAACTCTGTTCAATGTTATTTGTGGCTTTTATTGACAAAATTTGTGTTTACTAAATAATTGTAAAAAAACATATACAAGTTCATCAGTATCATTAAATAGATATAAAAAAATGTCAAATGTGAAAATTTTTTGACAGATGGAATTTTTTAAACATTTTTTCATGTTCCTGATATCTTACCTTACTTGCACATTTTCTCTGGGGCGCGAGTTCTGGCGCACCCTAATAGCGTGATTCAAAAATAAGTTACAATACAAACAGCTAAAACCACTAGAATTGTTGTCGATTGCATTTTGTGCGATTAAACCGGTTACTATGGCAAATAAACCTTTTATACACTTGAGGGAAGTCTTGGAGAGGTTTTTGCAATGTGGTGTGACAGGCAAACTTCCTAATTTTATTGAAAAGAAAAATACGAGCATGTCAACATCATTTCAATTTTCAAAAAAAAAAACTTGCTAAGGTCACCTAATTGGTGTTATAAATAGCCAAAAGTAGTAAAAAACTATTAAATTTTTTGAAGCCTGATTATTGACTTAAATTCAAATGACTTAGTTAGTTAGTTAATTAGGTTAGTTAGTTAATTTATTCACTAAGTATTATACAAAGTCATCAAGAATGAATGAATCTGTTGGCAATTCTGACTTTAATTTTTAAAGGATACCACTAGAGTATGCTTCTGATTAACAACAATTTAACAATCTTGGGGGGTCGTACGTTAGGTATTTGTCAAGCAAAACCGTATCCGGCTCCAGTGTTACAAATTATTAACAAAAATACTTTCAATCTGTTGCCAACTTAAACAGTCCTAAATGATCACGCTGTATTATTCACTAACAAAAACTGTAGTCTTTTTGTAATGTCTAGTAACCAGTTTTTGAAACCAATTTTTTTTGAGCTTCGGTATTTTCCCTGTTACATAATTGTTTACAATATTGCATAATTTTTTTTTGAACCTTGATTTATTTATTTCTGATGTAATCGTTATTTTGGAGTCTTCTTGTTGACAAATATATTTCGTAATTTATTTGACTGAAATGTAAACACTCTGTATAACTAAAAAAATTAAAAAAAGGTATAATGTCAACTTCTTTTAAACCTGACGTCTGGTATTTTTTGTGTAGAATGTTTCAAAATGCTGTGCTTAATCAAGGTTAAAGTTTGTTTAGGTACATTTCGCTACACAGCAATTTCAAACAAATCTTACTTCTCGAATTTAAAATTAGTAATTAAAATTAAAAAAAAAATAAAAGCTAGTAATTTAAATTTTAGTAAACAGTTTTAATTACTTACTTTACAACATATTAAATATTTTAATTGTTAAATAAGTTACAAGAATTTTAAACCTTGTTTTTCTAGATCAATTAAATTATTAAATATTATTTTAATTGTTAAATAAGTTTTAAATAAGTTACAAGAATTTTAAACCTTGTTTTTCTAGATCAATCCTAAAGGAAAATATTCTTTAATTAAAATAATTTGTTTGTTATAATGACTTATTTCACTTAACTCATATAATTTTAATAAAACCCGTACAGTATTATACCAGGTGTTTCCTAATCCAACACTAACTGATCAGCAACATTTCCAGCAGACTCACTTTCTTCAATTTTCTCAAGTTGGCCATTTTTAAACAATTGCGAACTTTTGACAGCTGCATACAACGAAAACAACAAATGTAACGCTTGGATTTTGTTTTTAACCGGAATTTGAAACACCCCGCACACTTCCTCTATATAATCACTCAAATTTCCTTTCGGTTCCGGAAAACCTTCCTCCCTCAGGTGTTTTTCCATACTTTCGGGCCACTCTTGCATCAGTTCGTCCAAATCTGGCATTGATCTAAAAACTCAGTCAGATCAAGTCATCCAAAAACAAAACCTACTCCGTGTATCGGACAGCCGGAAACGACTTGCTTTTATGCAAAGCTGAAATGTCCTTAATCCACTTGTCAATAATTTTTGTGTTCTTTTCAACATTATCAATTTTTTTAACCACCTGTATGAAAAAATTAACGAGGTGAATGAAAAAATAAGGTTAGATTAGTTACCACATCGCTGTCATTGGTGGTTTTGACCGACTCCGCCCTCAATTGTAGATGTAGCAACGCTGGATCGCTCTGATTGGCTGCCGGTTCGTCTAAGACAACTAGCCCGAGTTGCTGATTGGTTACAAAGTCCTCATCAGAGAGTAAGGTTTTCGGCGGGATGACTTTCAAAAATGCATCAATGTCGCCAACAGCGGGGAGAAATTCAGGAACGAAGGGTTTAAATTTGTGATCCAAACTCATCTGTTGGGGGATGTACCTAAATTTATAAATACAACGCCCTCTATACATTCTACTTGACTTACTTGGTAATATATTGAAATATGTCTTTTATTTCGGCCCCAACATCGAGATTTTCGTACTCTTTCGGGTCATATTCACCCGGAATTGCATCCTTTATTTTTTCTTCGTCACTGTCATCGTCACTGTCACTCGACAAGCCTGTTTTACGTAAGACAGTTTGGCGGCCTGAAGGGCCGGCGTTTGGAATTTTTGATAGCTGTTTCTCAGAGTCGAAGTCGTTGGCTGAAGACTGGAAAAACTTGATACGGTCCTGGATTTTATCTTTGGGGTTTTTACCTGTCTAGTGGCCATTTTTGCCAAATTGTTTTCGTAATCATTGACTGTTTGCGAGTTTGATCTTTCAGATAATGCTCCGTATTTTTTGAGGACTTGGTCATCGAAATTTTCACTCTCTTCATCCTTTCAAGTCGAAAATTTGTACAAAATTATTAATGAAATGAGACACACTTACGTCCACAATGGAGAATGACCTTTGCATTTTTTTTGTGTCAAAATAAGGATTTTTATTTCGGAAACGTTAGTGGTCGATTTGTATGTATGTATTTCGCTACTTAGCAACCGAGTTGCGTACTGAAAAACGAATTTTTATTTTTCTAGTAAATTTTATTATTCACGTTGGCAATGATAAAAATGTAAAATATCGTATTATGAAAAGAATAAAAATAATGTAAATCGCTTTTGCGTCTTTAATAAAACTATTAACAAACTCTGAGTGCTGAAACAGTCTAGAGATTTTTTTTGTTTTTAATGTTGGTGACAATGACAAAAAATGCCACGTGTCTCCCAACCTTGCGTGACACCAACTTACGAAAAATTCCCTAATTTAAAAATTTTCTTAAAAAAAACAGCACAAAGCCACGATTAATTCATAGTAGCCACTTTTTTACGTCCTAATTAATAAACGTCATTCATTAGTAAGAAATGTTATTATTCTAATCGATTAAAAAGTAAAACATGATTCTTAACTGAAAGTAGAAGCCCTTGACAATTGCTTCTAATGACCAAATTAAATACTCCTATTAATAATTAATTAATTAATTTTATGCCAAATGGCTTCTATAGATTTGAAAAAAAATTAAAAATTAAGAATGAAGGAACTTAAGCAATTCATACAAAAAAAAATGAAATCAACACAAAACAATAATTTTAATATGTTAATTACCAGATTCGGGTCCAAAAATTGTTTTTTAATTTTGCATACTATAAGGATTTGAACTTTCGTACAGTTAGTTACATTGGTAGGACCTATTTTATTTTTTATTTGTGTTTTGGAATAGAATTATATTTATTTTTATGAATGTCTTGATTTTAAATTTTCTAAAGTTGGCCACTTTCAAATAAAAATTTTTGGCGCCCAAATGTTGCATCTCTTTTCTTCGTTCAAATTCCAAGTCGCTGACTCATCCAATAAGAAATGTGAAAGGAGGCGTGACCGAAACAAACGAAACGAGTCGAGACCGCGATTCGTACTTAAGTGGGTAAATAAGTAAAGTTCAGTGTACTTAAAAATTGCTTACAGTTACGAGAAAAAAATTGCATATTTATTGTTTTCAATTAATGGAAAATGACAACAATAGGAGATGCTGGTAACGTCCTGAATTAACATAAATAGTGATCTAATCAATGTTTCAGCGTTAGAAAATAGAGAAAATATACCGTTGCAGAAAGGTCGCAAAAGCGCGACTTTCTGCTCTTGCAGTGAGGACTATTTGAGTGGCTCTAAATTCATTAATGTTGCTTTTGGGACTTTGACTGTTATAATAACAGCGGCTTTATTACTACAGATTTATTACGGCGACTACCAGGTGGGTCATTTGTTTTTTCAAAAAATTACCATAGTTGGCCTTGATCGTAGGTGGTCCCTCATGGCAGTGTTGCCACCGACAATCTCGAATGTTCAAAAATAGGAACTCAGATTTTGAAAAAGGGCGGCAATTCTGTCGATGCTGCAATCGCGAGTGTCTTTTGCCTGGCTGTTGTTAGCCCACACTTGACAAGTCTGGACGGGTATAAGTGTGAAATTGAAAGACATTTGCACAGTCATTTGTTCCAGGGAAGGCCAACTTCTCATTTACAATCACCGGGCAAGGCTCACCCCGGATGTGGTCGAATTTAATGTTGGTAACAATGATGCGGAACATTTGTTACCACGACTGGTTCTGGGGTTGGCCTTTGTCCACCAACAGTACGGGACGGTACCATGGAAAGAGCTGGTGCAACCCTCGGCCGAATTAGCAAGGTTTGTGGTGTATTATTGTTGGTTGCCTATATTCAGGGGTACTTTCTAGACGAGGTTTTCTCATACCTAAAATGCTGGTCCAGGCGATTAAACAAGCCAAGGCTGAGGATTTGTATGGACGACTTGAACCGGGCCAAATCCTCCAATTAGAAAATTTAAGCAATACTTTGGCACAAATCGCCAATATCCCTGAGAAAGGTAAATGACAAAAAAATAATGTCGTAATTTTTAATTCATGTTGGCAGAACTGTACACCTTCGTCAAGCCTGAAAACCAACCCAGATACTCACCCGCCCTCAAATTCACATTTAACACTTACGACATATACGTACCGGACCGCCCCTCCATAGGCCCCGCCCTCTTGACTTACCTCAAACAACTGGAAACTTTCAATTTCACCAAGACTGACACTACTCGAACTGAATATGTCTATCGACTCGCCGAATTGGCCCAAAACCTCTACAATGACCTCAACTTGACCTCCAAGTACCACATGGGTACCTCAACCAACGTCGCTGTCATGGATTTGAACGACAACTATGTGTCATTTACCACGTGAGTAGCCATGATTGAAAATGGCGGCTATTACATGTTTTCCTAGAGGGTTATATGGCCTCTTCGGTTCGGGTGAGATCACCACTGGAGGTTACACACTTGATGTCCATCCCAAAGCCACGCCCTGTTCCCGCCTCCCAGTCATAATCACCGATGCTCAGGCCATTTGTGGGCGGCGCCTGTTGCTCGGAGCCAATGATCTATCGACAGCGTCACAACTCATCATGTCATTGCTTGTAGCTGAGGAGAATATCACCAATGCTGTCGAAGCGCCACGGTTTCACATTCTGGATAATGGGGGTGTGGGGATTGAAGGGTCGCACTCACCCTCGTTCACTGATGATGTCCTCAAGTATCTCGAAACGTTGACAGCGAGACCGGTGTTGGTGGCAGAGCCGTACATGAGTAGTAACGTCGTGGAGAAGGTCAAAGACGAGTTGAATTCACATTCGGATAGTCGAGGTGGGGGTATAGCAAGCAGGTTTTAAACACGAGCCAAAGACGAGTGAGTGAAGTAATTTATTGTATCTTTATGGAAATAAATAATGAAAGCTGGTTCTTCCTTAAATATTTATTCTAACATCACTATTCATGACTTACTTCAAAATTAATGAAAAAATATATAACAGCCATTAATTATAAATTATTTTACATTTATATTCCTATAAATAAAGGTAGCTTCTAATAATGAGAACAGTTCACAAGTTTATCAAAACATGATTTTTATTATTATTATTATTATTATATTATGTATGGTAAAGTTTTTTCACTTTTTAATTGGGTTAGATATAGCAATGAGTTTGGTAATGATAGTAAAACTTATACTAACAAATGACAAATATGACAATGTACTTATATTACAATAGTTTTTTTACAGCAAGTTGTAAGCATAAAAAGTTTTACACTTATAAAAATACATTAAACAAAGAAACATAATAAAATATTATTGCTATTGAAAAAATCTTTTGAACTAGAAATGTTACATGACCACTTTACTGATGCCAAAATTAAGTATCTGAAACACCTATTTTTGCAAATTGCTTAAATAGTCCCTAAATTTTAAACCCACAATAACTTTGTAAAAAGTTGCCTTTTCGACCAGTAAGCCATTCAAGATTAGTGAGAGATCAACATTTATCACTTACTGGAGTCTGTTTGATGGTCTGTGGTCATTTGGAAATAATCAACTTATTTAAATAGAAAAAAATCTTTTATTAACGCAATTGTTACAAATAAACAGCAGCATTTTGGGCATTCACCCCCCCAAATTTCTGTCGTAAGTACCATCAAAAACAGTGTTTCACATACGAAATGCTGCTAATAATACGACAACTTAGTAATTACTCGCTAAACCCATTTGTCTGTACAATTCACATTTAACAACATAAGTCTATCTATATACATGCTAGATAACAGTATTTAATATGAAAGAAACAATCTGCAAATATATAAAGCATACCTTCATGCTGGAAGCTTCAAAATAGTTCTCTCTTTTGAAAAAAACGTCTCCACTTTTTGAGCGATATCTAATTTTATCTAACGTCAAATAAAATTATTATAAATACATATAATTACATAAAATCTTGTCTCACTGAAAGTCTCAAACACGTCCACTAGTCATTATAACGAGCCTTCGAATGCGGCCATAACGTCACTTTGCATGTTCATATCGATTTTATTGGCCAGCTGCAACAAACTCATAAGACTCCGCCTCCTAACTCCACCCGACGTAAACTTACCACTTCGCGTCTCCGCCTCTCCTGTTCTTGAAGCCGCGCCCTTTCCCGGTCCGTCCGTTCTGACCCGGAGCTCTGCGACCCCGGTGAAATACTCCCCTCACCCGGCGACGACCTCAACTCCTCCACCCTCTGACTGGAAATCGGCTGTTGTTGGTGCTCCGCTACCGCTTTCCTTTGAAACAAAACCACTACGTGTCAGAAACCACGCCCATGGACACGCCTTCTTTACTTACCTTGCTTTCTCCAATGCATCTTCCTCTTCTTTCTCGCGTCGTCGTTCGTTCTCGACTCGCAGTCGTTCTTTTTCGGCTTGTTGTTTCTGTTGACGTTTCAGTTCGAGATTTTCCAAGCGTTGCTTTTCGCGATCAGCTTTCTCTTTCGCTTTGTTTTGGAAGGCTTTGAAACTATCGCGGAGTTGCTGCTGATTGCTGCCGCCAGGTGTCGCGTTTTGGGGTGAACTAGCCTTAGCTAGACTTGACCACGAACTGGCATTTTTAACATTATGTTCTTGTTTTTTATAATTGAAAGACTGGGGATGTTGTTTGTGGTCGATTGGAGGTTTGCGTTCGTTTTGTTGTTCTTCCTTGATGGGTTCTTTCTTGGGCATGTTGTTCACTTGTTGGGGCAATGGGTCAAACATCGATGGAATAGTCACGTTCATGGGCACGCCACCCATCGAATTCAAACCATTGTTGTTGGTATTCATATCAAACTCGTGTTTTATACCACCGAATCCGTTATTTGTTGTATGCAACATATTGGGTTGAGTCGTATTAGGTTGCATTAAAGGAGTTATATCTGATTCGAGCGAATTATGTATAGAGTGGACCATCGAACCAGGCATGATGTCACTCAACGGTTTCATATCGACCATATTCGACTGTAACAATGGAGGGTTGAGATTAGGGGCGGAGCTAACGGTCGGATAACCAATTGGATTATTGAGGGAGGACACCAAATATTTGGAATCCAATGGTTCGTTTTTGATGATGTCATGTTCTAGACTAGCCAATGATTGTTCCAACGGGTCGGTGTACGAACTGGTGAGAGGCGAAAGGATGTTGGTTTTGGGTTTGTCAGGTGACGGTGTAGGAAGAGCTACTTGTTTCGGAGCTTGAGGTACCGTTGTTGATGCAAGTGTTTGGGCGGGAGGCATTATTATTGGTTTATCATTCGATATGGATGGCTTGCGATTGGTTACTGGCATTGCGGTAGTGTTTGGCTTGTTGTCCATGTGGTTGGGCATAGGCTGATGAACCTGATTATTCGCTATGTTTGTTGTGTTGTTGCTGGCGGTTGTTGTTGATGCTGTTGTTGTTGGCAGTGCGGAAGGTGCTAGTTGATGAGGTTTCTGGAAATAAGCGACCGATTGATGCACACCGAAAACAGTCGATAGAATCAGCAGGCACGCAACTGAGTGTTTAGTCTGCGGTCCGCGTTCACAAGTTTTAGAATTGTTTCAAGTGTCTTGTACCTAATTTTTTATTTCTTGAGTTAAGTCTTCAATCCTTGGTCAGAATAAACAATTTTCGCGTTTTTCAAACAACACTTGACATTTCTCGGTTGTTTAGTCTTCGGTCTGCAGTTTTAAAACAGATTCCTAAAATATCTGTTACGGAATTCAATAGAAACTACTCTACCATTTTCACTTCTGATTGTTTAGTCTTTCGAGAATAATTTATGACTCGCTTTTGATAAGTGTGTGTTATCACTACAATCCACAATCCAGGTATGTAATTACAGTTTAATTAACTATCAGCGTTAAAAACACCTGATCGGTCACACAGTTTAGTTTGTGATTTGCATTATTTTATTTAGTCTCCAGTCCGATTCCAATACACCATGTGTTTTTTAATTAGAAAAATTTGTAAGTACGGCATTTTTTATTTAAAACGTGAGAAAATATAGGGCGTTTTCTTGCATTTTTCGATATGTGAAAACGCCCTTTAAAAAATTCCTCAGTCACATGCCCAGCATTTTGAGGCGGCTTTCATAAAGCAAAATATGTGCGTTGACTGTCGATAAAACAGAGTTCTGCGCTTACTCACCATGTTCGAATTTCCGACGGAAGGGTTAGGTGATTTTTTTGTCTTCTTTTTGACCTGTCGATTGCTTCCACCTACAAAGACTTTCACTTGTAAAAACTCGAACGATTTTGTTTTCAATTACGGCCTTGAGTGCGTTTTCGGACGATCTCACCACACATCAATAAAGAACGACTTTTTTGTTAAAAATGTCTTAAACCAATTTATTTTTGACATAATATGCTAACATTTGTCATTTTGTTTTTCACAGGAATGTTTTAAAATATACTACAGGGTACATAATACAACAAAATTAATTAAAAAACTATAGCGATTCAAGGGCAACACCAACTACACAGAGGCAAGACAAAGATTATTTATGTTATATATATTTATATTTATAATTTTTTATATATAACATGAACACAATCAGTATTTTTCTCTTCTTATTTACAATAATTGGAGTTAATGTGTTATCTATATACAAAAAATAAAAAGTCAAAAATGAAAAACAACGGAGATTCTATAGACTTGAATAAATAAAAAAAGCTACAATAGAAATATATTTATATTAAAAGTTCGCCAAATACATAGAAACAAAATATATATGTATATAAAAAAGAACAATATTCAAATACAGTGCAAAAAATTTTATGTGAGATTTCGGTATGTATAACCACACCATTTATAAAACTTAACTTCTATCAATACGAATACATATAAAAGTTATTTTCTTTTCAGATTATGAGAACAAATTAAAAAAAGACGTCACAAAAAAATACAATCGTAAAAATTATATACATTTTACATCACAACAAAATTTAGTAGTGATATGAACAACTTTCGTACTCTACTCTGCTCTGTAGTAAAGAGACCTAACCTGACTTGCCTCTAAAATAAGTTGACTGCCATTTTGTGTGAAAATAATTAAATCCCCTGAGTGCAAACAATGTGAATGGAGGCCAGCGCAATCTTCATTTGACCAAACATGAACCATACAGTACCATACCTAAAACCGCACTTGTTTTCTAGCTATCGAAACTCACCAACAATCGCTAGAAAACAAATGCTGACACAAAAACAAAACAAAAAAGGTTGTATTGCAGATCTTAAAACTACAGCCGCCGCCACACACATTGTCTGCATTAGAAAAATCTAAGCGCGAACTTGTCACTCTTCAATTTGATTGATTTTTTTTTAATCAAACAAAAAATTCATTTGTGGTGTGGTAAGATCTCTCGCGGTCTGTATGGTCGGTCCGCTGCTGGCAGACTCCACACATGATATGCACTCAAGGCTATAATCAAATTGTGACCATACTAAACGAATAACATTGGTCTTGAAGCGCCACCTTGAGTTAAACGTTTAGAATGGCTCGAACATGTCCAAGATTAGGCTCAACAATACTTATCATTTAAAAACAGCAACATGAATAATTATGCAATAAAAAAGAACAAAAAAAAACTAATACTTGCGCAGTAAAAAAATTCATGTTGCCATATTGAGAAAACATTAAAAGTATGTACAAAAAACTCACAGGAGCACCAGCGAAAATGCATTTACATTTACTCAATTTTTTGTTAAATTTTCATTTAAAATACAAAAGTTGTCGAAAACTTGAACCATTAAAAATTTTTTTACAATAGATTATGGTCCGAATCTAATGGAAAGTACCTTTAAACTGGCAGAAAACACGACCACAATCGATTGGAAAAGATTTTCTTGGTCTTTTTTTCATTTATTTACCTATAATCTCATCAGAACAAAACAATATTTACTATGTACAATTTCATAATAAATAAATT